GATTTGGAAAAATTGAGTAACTTATCTAAGGTCACACAGCTGGTGTCCTTATTCCCTCGTCAATAGAAAGATTTAAATAAAATAAACATCAAGGAGTGCAGTTCTCAATATTCTCACATATGTTCATGATTTGGTACTTCTAAGATTGGGAAAAAAAATTAAGGAAAAAAATAACTTATTTTACAAATATTTTTTCCCTCAAAAATAGAAAAAAATAGATTTTCTGCTATACTTTCTAGAATGCTCTTCTCTCAAATCGCAAGTGTCAGTGTTGTTAAAAACTCTAAAAAGGGTTTCCATTTTTCTTTCCTCTGACACTGTTAATTGCACAGAATGTTGAAACTGGGAAAGTGATATGAGAAGTTAAACAAAGAAAATAAAAACATCAGCACGGGATTCCATGATTAGCATGTTTATGTTAGAAAGACATAAAAAACTTGATTTGACTCATATGATTCTTAACAGAGAGGTGAAGATATCTGACCTTGCTTCCCTTGATTCTACCTCTGGGATGGGTAGATACATAATAAAGACTATAAAAATAGTGGTCCAAAGGCTGGGTCCAGAATTAGAAAGGTGTATATTGAATTTACATGAATGTAACTGAGCAAACTCAGGTGGGTTGATGGTGCCCACTTTTACACTCAAGTGTTGGGTGTGGCTTTGCGACAACAGTCAATTAATTGTCTCCTCAGTTAGTCTTACTTTCTACATGTCTCTAGTGAATTTGAGCCTGCCAAGGAACTGTGATTTAAAGTTTAAACATTTTTTTTATATGATAGCCCCTAAATAAAATTCATGAGCCATATTGGGTCTTTTTTGCAAGACCTTGGATTTTCAAAGGGGTACCTTCGTAGAGGATTTTCATGTGTAGTTTTGACTTAACATCTTTAGAACTTAACCCAATTATAAACTAGTCGCTATATTAATTTATAACCATAACAAGTTATTTAATCGCTCTAAGCTGAAGCATCCCATCTATGTAGATCATAAGGTTGTTGTAAGGATAAAATGAGACATAAAAATGAAAGGTGTACCAACCCATACATAAATGGATCCCTCATGCATATAGAATTTCTGTGTCTGGTTGATAGTGGAGAATGTGTACCTGCCCTCCCTCACCACTACCCCCCAAAAGAGAAAAAAAAAACTCTAAAATAAGTCCTTTTCAGATATTTAGTTTTAAAAATGTTCCAGGTAATATAACATCAAGACCCATTTAATTTCACCTCTTAACCTGATACACCTCCAGGCAACATTAAGGATACTGTACTGACATGATGATTGCAAAGAAGGGGTTAGAAGACCAGTGTGAAAGCAAGAATCTGAAGCAAATAAGAGAAGTATCAAAGGTTGCACCTTTTCTGCCTGATTGTTCCGCAGGCCACAAACCTCGGCCAAACCCTGTACATGAGAACCAAGCACTTCCTCTCTCCACACTAAACTGCTACCTTCTAGACTCCACCAAGACCCAGTGTCCTACAGTGTCTCTGGAGGTCCTTTATGTCCTCTTGGGACCAGAGCCTTTGTCTGAACCAGAAGAAAAGTTTTAGAACCTGATGTGAGGACAAGACACAAGAAGTGAACACAACAGATTAATACTGCTTTAGAGACGGAAGAAAACACTATAAAAAACAATGCGCCATAGACTACAAAATCCCAAACTTGTTGAAAAGACACTGAGGCTTCCTGTTTACCTCCACGTTGCCTGATAATATCCATGGGCTATGGATAGCAGCTTAAGGTGGCTCCTCCCCATGTAATAGTAGTAATACTAGTAAAAGTAGTTAGTGCCAGTTCTAGTCTAAGTACTTTACATATGTTAACTCATTTTCTCTTCTTACAAACCCTATAAAGTACATATTATTTTCATCCCCATTTTCTAGATGAAGAAACAGAAAACAGAAGTCAATTGCCTAGATTATATTTCTGTTAACTGTAGGAGCTGGGATTTGAACCCAGGCAGTCTGTCTCCAGCGCCTGCTCTCAGTCCCAGAGGCTGGCAAAGTTTTCTGTAAAGGGCCACCTGGTAAATGTTTTGGCTTTTATATGGTCTCGGTTGCATATTCTTGATTATTATTTTTTTTTTTACTATCCTTTAAAAATGTAACGCCCATCTTAGCTCATAGGCGGTACAAAAACAGGCTGCAGGCCCACTTTGGTCCGTGGGCCACACATAATTTGCTGGCTAATACTGTATGTGTTGATCAAAGGTTCAAGTACACAGTGTGTACGCTATTCCACATTCACCTTAGGCAAATCCTTTATGCCTATAATACCATTGGATTTCTGTTGACAAAATAATCCATGATTTTGACTTGATTTCTCCCATTATGTCTGAATTTATGAGGTGTGGTTGCATTTTCAATCAGCCTTCCTTCTAACTAGCGATGCTGTACTTAGACATTTAAGAGGGGACTGTAGGGATAGAATAATGGTTTTGCTTCCAGTCACTTTTGATCTGTCATTGGCTTTCTACGAGCTGTATTAGTATACATAAAAGTGACTTTAGGCTCTATGGTGTTGGACTGGAGTCTGCTCTTTAATTGACTAGAAATAAAGGCATCAGTAAGATGCATTATCTTTAAAGCTTTAGGCTTGTCACTTCCTGAGATCTGACCTGACATTAATTAAGGCATTTCTGCTAGTAGAAATTTATTGGAAACCTTGCATCTAATCTTTTATCATTTTTATCAAAGCATAAAATGGCTTATAAAGAGACATTGTTCATAAAATGGATTTATATCACAATGGAACTTCATGCTTTCTAGGTGCCTGATGTATGCCAGGAGAGTCAAAATGTCATGATAACCTTCTAGGGCTAGACAAGTAGTGGAGAAATCTCAGTGAGTTATTGGATTGGCTCAAGATAAAATCTTAGATTTGCAAATAAATCCTGGTCAGTGTTTGTTTTAATACTTCCATGCTACATAGTGTATATATAGCTAGCCTCATGTAATGAATGTGAGAAAAATCAATGCTTTGGTTATGTCAGTTTGAAATCAAGGGAAAACTTACAGATGTGAGTTTTAAGTTATTTTGACCACACACGGTAATATACCAAAAAATTATATCATGATCCAGTACATATCTATCTACACACATATATAAAACCAAAACAAAAGTTTCAGAGTCGCTACTACTCACTACATTTGAGGTGTTTCTGATGTTTTTAAATCCGTTCCATTTAAATTTTTAATGCTTCTCATTACCACTAATTTATTTCATGACTTATGAATGGTTCTTGACTCAGTTTGAAAACCACTTCCTTAGAAGAGCCAAATGCTCACACACTGCTTATATTTACAAGACGTAATTGTTTAGGAGTTCTTGTGTACCATCACAGCTCAATTAGATTTATTTGCTGAGAACCAACTGTGTAAATCACCGTGCTAGGCTCTATAGGAAGTATAAAGAGTTATGCCTTCAACCATCTCAAGCCAGAAATTTTCTGAGTTGCTAGCATGAGCAAAATGACATATCTCTGCCCTCATGGAGCGTCTGATCTAGTGGATGAAAGAAACTCAGAACTCAATGAATTTTGGAAGATAACATAGTCTAGTGAATGACATAAGTAAGCAAGCAGCTTTGTTAGCACTTTTTGGGTAAAAAGTGTTCTCTTCTTACCTAGAAGGGTCAGGCTCATTTTTATAGATGAGAAAATGTAGACTTAGTCTGCCATTTATCACAAGTCACATTGATATTTTGAGTCTAAATCCAGGATTATTTGTAATATACATGCTGTCCCATGTGATCAAATGGGTTTTGTGCTGGAAGTAAAGTGATTTGGGAGTTCAGAAGTGATGATTAACTCATATTATAAACATTTTTCATCCCTTGGAAAGCTTGGAAAGACCTTAAGAGGTCCCTTTACTCATCATTTTTTTCTTTCAGGATTAGCTAATCTAAATATTCTTGAAATGAGAGACAAAATACATCTTTTAAAGAATGATACCTTCTAGTGTTTCACAATATTTTCTGAATAAGCTCTTACGATTCCTCATTTGGAATTTTATTACTCTAAATTCCTCATTTCAAAAACCAGAAAACGAAGTGGAACATTTTCTCAAGATCATCAAGGCAAGAAACTAAAAATCTCCATCTGTCTGGGAAAATCTGTACTTTGTTCTTCTCATCACAAGGCATTTCACGAGCACTGACCTAAGAACCCATGCCACCCATACGCTAAATGTCTACTGCCTCTGACTTTTCGGAGCAGAAGTTTCAAAACGAAAGATGTGAAAGGTCATCTTAACTTCAAAGCACCATTCAGTGGACTTCCATACACATATTCATGCTTGTCTCTTAGATATTTGTGCCGTGGAGATTGGCTCGTTCTATAAATTTATGAGTGTAATAATTTCCTACTTGGGGAAACTGAAATCATTTAGATACAAAAGAGTGGTTGTAGTGA